TATCTCTTTTCGGTGTTTTACCCTAATCTAAACCACCCCAATTAACAAGATTCTTTCTACTTTATGCAAAATCACTTTATAGTCTTGAAGATGAGCAAAATGAACTGATCTTGTCCCAGTAATACAAAAAATGGGTTGTTGAAAAAATCCACAGTTTTGTGGTTTTACCCTAACCCAGCCCTGGTCCATATTTTAAGGGGTTTATTGTTCATAATCCTTAGTTATTAAAAGCCCCCCTCCCCCCAAAAAAATGCTATCTGAAAAATAATTTCAGTTGGAATGAGCAAGAAACTCCTTAAAACTACAGCAAAACAAAATACATTTCTATTTTAGCTGTGTTCTGATATCTTTTTTGCTAAAATAAAGCTGGCTAGTTTTAATTTTCAACACCCTTAAGTTAAGATGGAAAAAGAAGCCAAGAAATATAATTTGACTAGTGGGTGTATACAATATCAACATTGATTGGCTGTTTAAAAAAACCAGTTTAAGGATTGATCAATATAGGATTTGTAGCTGCAAAATAAATTACTTTAAGATTAGAAAGAAATAATATATAAAGATTGATATGCTGTTATTTCATTTTGGCAAAATGCCAACAGTTATTAGTATATATTTATATATATTTATATTTAGAGACGTGTTAGCTATACTCTTATATTGTTTAAAATATTTAGTGGAAAATATTTCTCATTTTCCTGAATGCTGTATATACTAACATAATCTCCAATAGCGACAAAGACTTGTTGAGACAAGTTGAACTAAAAATATATATATATATATTAGTATATACAATGGTTGCTAAAGTGAGCTCATTGGAGCTGTCACTAGCAAGCTTAGTAAACTTTTAAAATCTGAAAAAAAGACCTTTTACAAAAGAGATGAAACTTTTCATTAGTGTAACTCTTTTTGCAATAATTGCTTTGAGTATTATCACAGGTGAAAAAATTATAAAAACAAAAACAACAAATTTATTGAAACTTTCTAACGTTTTTTTTTGAAGTTGGCGAATCACTAAAGTGTTATTTATGCTTTAACTGTGAAGCGGATCCAACATCTTCAACACCAACTTGTACAACAGATGGATTTTGTGGAAAAAGAATTGGTATTGTATTAAAGTTTTGTTTATAGAATTGGATTATTGTTTTGTTTTTTTTTAAAATAGATAATGGAGTTACTAGTAGGGGATGTGTAGACAAATCATTCAGAGTGAAAAATACATGTGTAGATGAAAACGGAAGCCATGGTTGTACTTGCAGTACAGATTTATGTAACACTTCAGCAAGAAGTAAACCCATTCTCATGCTAATGTTCTGTTCGATTTTTTTTGCTTTGTACTCTCTTTTCATATAATTTAGGAAAAAGGTATGATGCTTGTCATAAAGGCTTAAATCACCTTGAAAAAAATATCATTTGCTGGTTTTTTGCTTAGTAATACAATAAAATAGAAAATACATATACAATTTCTTGTTTAATTAAACAGAGTCCTAGCTAAACTGTGAGCTTGATTGATATTTAAATATGGATTTAGCATTAAGTATATAATTTACAATTGTCAAATATATTTCTATTAAAAAGTCATCAAGCAGCCATGAGACTTAGGAATAAAATATTTTAACCAATATTTAATCACTTTCATGTTACTACTCAACTTAAAACAGTACTAAAATCAAAATTATTTGGCTAAAGTGATAAAAAGATAAACAATGAACTACACAGTTTGGCAACTGTAAAGTGGTGATTGGATATCAGAGGCAGACCTCAAAGTGTATAAATCCTCATTATTTTCATTCTAAGCATTCCTATCTGAACCCAAGAAACCTGGGAAGATAACCTGGAAACAAACCTCCACTGGAGCCATCCATCTACTCCTCAATATTGGAAAACAGTTTGGTAATTTGGCAACCTGCTGTTACGAACAATCTACTATGCTATTGAACTCTCGTATTGCTACTTGCTTAAGTATTATTATTGCGAATAAACCGTTTTAATTTAAACATTTGTTTAAAGGTTTGAGAAGAAGCAGTATTGTTGTAACTCGCAAACGCATAAATTTATAAAATCAAAATTATTTGGCCAAAGTGATATCTAAGAGTCATTTTGTCAAAAGTCACTGATACCACCAAAATGTAACAGTGCTTAGCAGACAGCTAACAATATTTTTGTTAGCTTTTAAGCTGAACATGTCTGAAAAGGGTTAGTCCTCATTCCAGACTATGCTAACAAATACAACACAAAGCAGGATGGTATTCAAATCTCTAACTATAAAAATATAGGGAGAAAATACTATTAAAATGTTGGCATTTTTCCAAAAAAAAAGAAATATCAGTCAATAGAAAATAAATTTTTTACAGAGACAGAAGTTTGTATTGCAATGAATTGAAAGTAATTAAAACATAAAAATGTTATCCTACTCTATATGTAGAATTTTCTACTCCAATACTGGATTGAATGATGATAGGCTAAAAAATTGATTTCTTACCTGAAAGGAAAAAAGATTTAATCTTCTTCTATGGGTCATTATGAGGATGTTAGGTTATATATAATGGGCTGCAGGAGAAAATGTCCACAGGAAAAAACATCCACGTATCTTTAAAGTTCTCTCCTTCTTTAACAATTCAGAAGTGGCTCTATCTGTTAAGGCTAAAACTTGACGTTATAATGATCATAGAATCTAATAACTACCTACTCTGCTATGGAACTTTTATGGATGTGGCAGAAAAGGATGTGGTAGAAAACAGCCATAAATCTATGGTTTTACCCTAACCCTAACCCAGCCCTTGTTTTTGCCTGACCTTTTCGAATACCCCTAACCCTTAGATGGGACCCTCCTAAGAACATATCAACAGTTATCTTATCCCTCCTAACCATTTCCCAGGCTGAAATCTAACTTTCAAATATTTCATTTATGGCCGTTTTCGACTGGTGCCAACTTTTATATTGTAATGAGCTTAAGCACTTTATTTCAAATAAACCATTTAAATTAAACACTTTTGTTTAAGGGTTCAAGTAGAACCAGTACTGTTGTTAAATTTGGCGAAAGTTACAAGAGTATTATTTTGGTTTATTTAAAAGTTTGGAGAAAGTAAATTTGGCAGAAGGAGGAAATGAAAATGCCATTGGGGTAGTTACATACTCTAATCCTTCAACCCCAGCAACTCGAACAATTACAATTGAACCAGCAGAAATGTCAGAAAGGCATTAGATTAATTGAAGACTATGATAGATTGGTAAGTGAAATGGAAAGAAATAGAATTACAATTCCACCAGATTTTGGAAATGGAACACCTCGCCCAGCACAGAGCCCTAATGTTGATATCATAACAGTATTTCAAACATTAAGGGCTGCTTGGGACTGCCCTCAAAGAACTATCATCAAGTTATATGATGGAAGGAATGACATTCAACATTCAAGGAAGACATTAATCAGGCACGTCATGCTTATGACTGGGTTGACGAAGATGTTGTGAAAGCAAATCTTTTAGATTATTTAACTAGTCCTGCAAAGGATTTGGTGCTAGCTCTTGATGGAGAGCCTACTGTAGAAAAAATATGGAAAGCTCTCCATGACAAATTTAATCTTGATTCTATGGAGTATCAAGAGAAACTGTTTACCTTAAAGCAAACAATGGTGAAAATGTGGTTCAGTTTGTTAAAGAGATTTTCTCCACCTAGACCAATAAACCTACAATTGCTTGCATCAATGAAAAACGTGCAACTGATGGAAGTTTTACAAAAAGCATTAAATGAGGGTATTTTGCATTTAATGAACACCCTACATCCTAGATGTCAAACATTGGCAGAACGAAAAGAGAAAAGAGGCCAAAAAGACCCAAGTAATGAGAAAAGATGATAATACATAAAACCCCAAATTTTTGGAATAGAAAGCATGTACCTGACTAAAAAACACTACTAAAGCAAAGTGGACAAACCAAAAAGTAGGGTATATGGATGGAACTTTCAAAGCTGTAAAGCTGTCTTCTTACCAACTATTTTCAATACATTCATTCATAAAAAAGGGTTAGAAGTTAAATATTAGGTATTAGCGCAATCAGTGTAGACTGCTAACCCCTCACAATTGCACTCACACTGCTAACATTGTTAGGCTAAAGGTTGATGTAGTTGTTTAGGAATTGCTATCTAAAGTAGCCCTTCTAGCCTAAGCTATTACTGTATCTCCAACAAACACAAGATACAAATTGGAAATTCAAAAGACAAAAGAGCTGAAATTAAAAGAAAAATTAAGCAGCAAAGTTGATCATGAAGCTACAAAATTTGGAAACATTGAACAATGACAAGATGTCAGAAAACAATAAAGTTAAAAATATTCTCTGTTTTGAGATAGTGAAAAATCCATATGTGAGTTCTTACAAAGTAAACAACATGAAAGGAATAGCATCTGCTGTTGAATAAGATGTAACAACTTTGACCTGCATCTTTTCCATGTTCTTTGTACCTTTGTTAATTCCCAAGTAAAATATCTAAGTGTACAATAGCTTGTATTGTGCATATATCACTTTTTCCTTTTGAATTGTGACCTATCTGCTATTCTATGTAAGCTTTTATTGATTTTTTTATTCATTCATAAAATATAGATTACTGTGACGGCTGGTAATATTGAGATATGTTGGAATTTCCCTGTCTTTTAAAATCATATCTGCAACTACAAGAAACACCAACAACTGTAATCATTTTTGCTGTTGAATTTTATCATAGGATAGAATTATAATTTGCAGAAAGTCTTAGTATGTATTAATGTATTATATCAATTTATGTTTTCAAATCTCTCTGTCTCTTATAAGGTGTATTATTTCATGTCAGAAATGACATTTTGTATATCAGTGGAGGGGGGAGGGGTGTGGCAATATAAATGTATGAGGCCTGTTCGCTATTTGCAATCAATTAGGGGTTGTAATCTGCAATCTGTGTAATCCAGGATTCAAGTATTTGCGGATTGCGTGGGGAAGTCTTCAGTAGGAGTGTGTTGAAGATGTGTTTTAAAGCACAGGACAGTCTTGCCAAAAAAGAAATTTCCGTATTTAAAAAGTCAATCGTTGTGTAAGAATGATGTGCTGTACATTTAATTTAGTATTACTTTTAGGCAAGATGTCAATTGACAGTCACAACTCAAGACTCTCAAAGAAAAGTGCTATCAATTATGCTTTCACAAAGTATTACAATGAATTTGCTGCATTGGCAGAAAAATCTTATTTCTTCAAGGTGATTCTATATACATATTTCATTGAAGGAAAAAAAATGGATTCCCTTACTCTAGACTATATAAAGGATGTATATGAAAAAGAAGATAAAACAGAAGCAATTAAGATGGCATGGGGTTATTTAAAATATGAAGGAATTCCTCAAACAGTAAAAGTCTTAAAAACTTTTCACGAATCGAAAGAACTCGCCGAAAGGATGAGCATATCTTGGCAAACATTAATCAATGAAGTTAAACAACACCATCTAACAAAAAATATGAATATTCAACTTCTTCCTTTTGATGAAAATTCAAAAGCCAAAATTCAAAATATTATATCTCCATTAGAAATTTTAAAAGTTAATGCTGAGACAATATTTTCAACAAATTCTGAAAAATCTAACTACAATTATAAAAACTTTCATAATATTTTCAATACAGAATTCAATAAAATAATTGTTCAAGGTGAACCAGGAATTGGAAAAAGTGTTCAAGTTAAATATCTTATGAATTGTTGGGCTTTGAATAAATGGGATGATGTTTTAAATGATAAACTATTTCTTGTTATCTATATAAAGAATGTTTTAAACAATGAAGACATATTCGACTCGATATTGAAGAGTAACTTTCCAGGAGATACAACTGTAACAAAGGATAATATCAGAGATTTTTTCGAAGAGAAACAAATGAGAGACGTCTTTCTCTTATTGGATGGAGGTGATGAAATTGACAAATTGAAATTATTAAATGAAAATAAAGAATATTGTATTCAAAATTTCATCGATAGTTCAAATTGTCCAATTCCAACAGTTGTTTGGTGTAGAAATTGGAAATCAATAGAAATTTTGTCTACTTGCGATGTTGCCTTTGAATTAATTGGTTTCAATTCTGATCAATTGAAAAAGTATTTTGAAACAAATTTTATTAATATGCCATGTGATGAGTTTGTTTATGCATTGAACAAAGGAAACGGAAATATAAAGAGTTTTTGTAGAATTCCTCTCCTAGCAACAATTATTTTCTACTTGTATCATGAAAAGAAATTTGAATTTGAATATGATAATTTATACACAATTTATGAGAATGCAATTGAACTTATCTTTATAAAAAATGGAATAGAATTGAATGATTTAACAATGGAAACTATTTATAGGCAAAGTTTCCTCTGTTTAGCTGATAATAGAATTGGAATGAAAATTGATAAAAACCAATTGAAATCATTTCATAAAGTTTTTAAATGCTTTGCACAAATTTTTAATAATTCTGATAATCCGGAAGAACTTGAAATTCAATATTTTCATTTGTCTATTCAAGAATTTTTCGCCGCTAAACATATAATAACAAAATATATGGAAAATCGAATACAGACATCATTATATATTGACAAACAGTTAAAGGATAAAAAAGTACTCAACATTTATAATACAATGAATCTATTAAAGGAAAAAGATGAAAGTATTTTTAAGCATGTTCTTCTCAATTCTATGATATTGGAAAAAGCTTTTCAACTTAGTGATAATATCAAAAGTATCCTTACTGATGATTCTGGTAATAATTCAAAAGTTCAGTTAACAGATGAAACAATCAGCTATTTAATTCTTGATTTAGTCATTGAAAAGATTAAGAATTCTATTCAAGAACTTATATTACAAAAGGTCAAGACAAATTTCAAGAGATTACTACTCAAAATTTCAAATACAAGTATGATAAAACTGAAAAAAATCCATTTATCAATAGAAAATTTCAATCATTTAGTTTTGAATGATGCAGAAGTAATGAAACAATTTTTGGTTTTACTACAAAATGATACATTGAGATATTTTGACACTCAAAGATTTCATTTAAACGTAATCTTTGAAAATGATGTCAAATGTATTAAAATTGGTAATAGATTTAACAGTTTTAATATTTCTGCTAATAGAAATTTATCAAATTCAAATAATAAAAGAATGGAAATTCAGGATAATGGATCTAAATTTAAAAAAATGTGGCAATTATTATCAATAACTGATGGATTTGATAATCTTATAAATGAGATTATCAAATATTATAGTTTAACTACATTTGATATTCATGAACAATATTTATCTGAGAATCAACTCAAAGCTTTGACAATTATGTTTTCTACATTTTCCCAAACTCTTTCAAATGTTAAATTGAATGTAGGAAAATTGAATGAGAGTACTGCAAAAATTCTATACAGTTTTATGGACAGTTTAACATACTTGAAATCATTTTCTCTCACATCTTCTAAATCAGATAGCGGGACTAAGTGTTTTATAGATAAGATAATGGAATACAAGCGTACCTCTTTAGAAAGTTTAAAGATAAAACTGTTATCCTATACATCACTGGAGTGTATATCATTGAGTGGTCTACTAGAAAAATTTCCTAAACTAAGATACTTGGAGATTTCAGGTTTAAATGTTACATTTGCAAATCATGAAATGAATGATATTCTCTTGGATGAGATTGAAAATATATGTCTGGAAAACTGTTTTTTGAATGACAAGCAAGCTGAAATAATTGTCAACAAGATACATAATAATAGTAATTTTGATGATTTATTACGAAATCGGCAATTAGGTGATGCGTTGATAGTTCTGCAAAGACACTTTTTAGATTTCAACAAGACATTGAGAAATATATCAATAAAATTTTCACAAAGATTTACCTATATGGATTTAAGAGGAAAAGTCATCTCATTGTCCAATTGTCATCTGCAGACAATTGAAAATGTGTCATCTTTTGACAAGAATAATGTTTTTCAGCAAAGTCTTGGCTTGAGAAATTTCGAAGAAAGTATTCCATCTCTCTCCATTTTTAAATGCCATTCAAGTGATAAGAATAATGATTGCCAGCAAGAAATCTTGTGCAGTTACCTAAGATCTTGTAAGAATTTGGAACATTTTCATATTCAATCAGAAAATGACGTTTTCGAATATAAAACAATTTTTCATTCACTCTCATCATCTTCTAAAAACTTCCTTAAAGTTATCAATGTTAGCTCTGCCATCCAATCGGAGGCTTCCGGTTTGGCATTTGCGGAACTGCTTGACAATTGTAAATGTTTGGAAAATATTGATATAAGCTCAAATAGTTCAATTGGAGAAAGAGAATTTGAAAAGATTTTATTATCCCTAGCAAATTCATTGGCAAAGTTGAGCCATCTAAATCTAAGTAAATGCAATTTGTCAACTTTAAACATTAAAACTCTTAACAAACTGCTGAAACAATGCTCATCAGTTGTTTATATTGATATAAGTTTTAACAAATCAGTTTATTCACTGTTTAATTCACTTGTAGAATCTTTAAAGCAATCATCTGGTGTGTTTAAACACCTCAATGTAAGCAATTGCTCTATAACAAATGAATCAGCTCATGAAGGTTTAAATAATTTAAGATATTTTCCTCATCTGGAATTTTTGGATGTCAGTTCAAATGCAGAAATTGGTAGTGCTATTGCTAGATTGAAAAAATCTTTGGAGAATTCTAATTCATTGAAATATTTAAAATTCAATAATTGTAATATATCTAAACAGTTCAGAAGACGGCAGACAGTAAAAAATCAGTGGTTTCCTGCTCTTGAATATTTAGATTGTAGTTGTAATCCGGGTATTGATAATGATATTGGTATTATTGTCACCCTTTTGGGAAGATCATTTGAGACTCTAAAGTATATCAATTTGAGTAATTGTCATATAACTGAAGATATTGGTAAACAGTTTGCTGTAAATCTTCAAAGATTTCAGTATCTAGAACATTTAGATTTAAGCTCAAATAGAGCAATTGGGAATTCTATAAATGATATATTAAGTTCTCTGGAAAGCTCTTCAGAAACAATGAAATATCTCAACTTTAGTGACTGTAAAATGACAGAAGAGTCTGGTAATTATCTGGAAAAGTATTTGAAAACTTTTTCCTCACTAGAATATTTGAATATCAGAAGAAATGGAAATGTTTGCAAGAGTTTAAAAAATATTACAAAATCTTTATTGGAACTATCAAAAACATTAACTCATGTGTATATTGATTTCTGCGGCCTTTCTACCTCAGACAGGCCTATAGTTGAATCCTTACTACAATCACTATCTCTTGAGGACTTTGAATTGTAATTTATGTCATGATTATCATTGAGTAACTTAAACGAATATTTTGAATGCCAAACATTTCCAATAAATGTGTGTTTTAATAAATTTGAAAAAAATCCCTGTGTCTGATAATGTGTAATCTATCTGATATGTAAATTCCAGGTATAGTTGCACCTTCTTTCCTTCAATTCTAATTATGACTTTTATTTGTTCCATGATTTTTTATCACTCTTGTAAAAAAGTTCTAACCACTTATTTCAAACTGGATGCTGAGTATGTATGATACTACAAATTTTCGCCCTAAGCTTAATAAATTGTTCCTAACATTGTTGAAAACCCATTGGTTCAAACTCTCAACTGGAGGTGTTGAAGTAAATGAACCACTATAACTTTTAAAGAATAGAAAGAATATATAAACTGGATAAGGTGAATGGTTTATACCAGTATCATTCTGAAGAGGTCCAACTCTAGCTTCAAATTTGAAATTAATTTAATTATTTAAAAAACTAAATATGAATGGCAGTTCAACAGTAATTTAATCAGCAAGTTTTTTCTGTTCTTGTTACCCAGAAATTATATTGAAAATCTTGTGCATTTATATTATTTATTAACTGCTGAAGCAGCATGTTTTGACAAAAGGTGGGCAGTTAAAACTCAAAATAATCAGCATTTTTATTCCTCTAACCCTGAAAATCATCAGGTTTTTTTCAATCTTCTAACAGTATAGATAAATATCTTTTAAACATTTCATTCACTTATCAAATTTATAAAATAGAAAAAATAGTCACTTGCTTTGATAGAATTTGTTCTGCATTTTAGTGATACCAGAAAATATTTTTAAAATACAACCACGCGATAAAGTCACCTATTATCTACCAATTGAATTCAGATCTATAGTATTTGGTTACTATAGTAAGAAGATAAGTATATGTTCGATGCTGCTAACACTTTTTTAAAAATAGGAGATGAAAGAAATCTAGACAGACAATTGAGCAAATGAAAAAAAAGAGAGGAATAGATATTTTGCATATGCGAATAGTGAATTATTTTTGAATCGAGGTGAAACCGTACCCATAAAAATATTAGGTTTTTTTAATTTTATTAATACTAAAGAAAAGTATATATAACACTAAGATTATGATAATAAATTAAGACATAACTTTGAAAGATAGAAGAATGGAAAAAGTGAAGAAAAAAACCATTTAAAAAACAGAATATTATGGAACATAAATATTAGATGTTTGAACTAATAATTCATCTGCTAAAAGCCCTCCTAGTCTATAATTTTCCCAAATTTCAAATATTTTTCTTTCTATCTCAATATACTGCTTTTTTTGGTATTTGATAATCTTCTTCTCAGACATAAGGTTTTCATAGATAATAACTAAATCAGCTTCTCTCTTCAGTTCATCAAGCAGCCAATAAAATGATCCTTTAGATGGTACTTTATTATTCATTCTATTGTGCCATCCTTCCACACTGTTATTAGTCGTTATGGATAATCCATATATAGACCAATTCTCTGTTTTCCATATAGAGTTCATAATCCAAGTTGCTTCAAAATATTCCAACAAGTCTGCAAATTTTTCTTTTTCTGTAAGTTGAGATATCAATCTGTAAAATGTTGGAGCAATGATATGAGCAGGCAGAAAAGGTAAAGCCATCAGCTTTCTCATGTCTCTCCAGTCTTCTCCTTTCTCCATATACTTTCCAGAGTATCCAAGAAACTTGAAGGATCATAATTGTAAAAACAAACCTTAAAGGTAAAATTAAATGTTTTACCTGTATTTTCCTATATATTGCTAGTGTAAAATGGAATACACATCCATGAATTTGTGATTCTGGATATATTTTGGACACAGCTCTCCACAGACCCATCTCAAAATCAATTGTTATCTTCTCAGGCTGTGACATAAAAATAAATGCGAATGGAATATGTTTCATTTCACCATCTTTTTTGATATAGCTGTGTATAGATAAGAGCTGATAAAAAGGATCCTTTACCATTTTAAATGTCCCATCAATGAACCAGTGTTTTGACTGACCAAGCAAATTAAGTTGATGGCTGCTACCAAAAATAAGAATTCTCTCTTTATTTTCACAGATGTGTAGTATTGCTCTAAATCAACTAGATTTAATAAAAGGAAGACATTTACTATACTAATAATAATGATTTAAAATAAAATTTGCTAAAAAATTTGGTATTAAAGTAATATACACAACTATCAGAGATAAATCGACTAGGTTTTTATCATGAATTTTCTAAGAAACTATATTATTGCTCACAGCTTGATTGTTTGCAGCGACACCTGTCTATAAAACTAGAGAATTTTTTCAATTGATAATCACTTCTACCATAAAACATGGCAGAGACTGGCTACATTTGCAGTCTTGACGAAAAGTATATTAAAAAATCAAAAGATGAATTAAGCACAATTATTATTTAAATTTAGATTCTCGATGTGATTTAATTCTAGATAGTGTTAGAAGAGGGTAAATATCAGCTGTTAAATGCAATCTAACAATTTTATCTCCTGTTTTTAATCAAGTCAAGGACTGTTGCCTGAATATTACGATGAAGGTAGAATGATAGTACTCTATAAATTAAGTATGTCTTTCAATAAAATTCCCTTATAGTAGCAGTTCTTTTCTAATTCTTGATCAATGTATGAACTATACATTTTTAGATCTGATTTCCTATGAAGAGTTGAAGAAAAAATACAAATTTTAAACTTTTATTAAGACTCTTAATGCCATTTTTTGACCTTAATGGATGATGAAATGTTTCAAGTGAATAGCATTCAACTGATTTTTGATATGACTGGTTTCAATCTGAAAATGTTACCATTATTACATGATCCTGAAGCTGTTAAGTTTAATAAAGAGAGTCAGGACACAAATATTTGGACAATGTTCCTTTTTAAATATTAAAATTCTCCGACAAAAAAAACTATATCTTGAACAAAAATAAATTCAATTATTCTTTATTCTCTTTCCAGCTGAAATGGGAGAGAGGTTACTGAAATATAAGGATTACATTCTCGAATCTACTAATCCAGATAACTTTGGCTTTGATGAGAACAAGAAATCTGCTGCCAATCCTCTACAGCATTTCAGGAAATTAAATATTGATTAAAAAGAATTCTTGATTGACTATTATTCAAAATTTCAATGTCTGTTCTAATTTGTTTCATGCTTGAATATTTTTTCGAATAAATTTTTTGTTACATTTTAAAGAGTTTTTCAATTTTATAAATCTAGAATTTTAGGGTTACATGCATGTAAAGATGTCACGGAAAACATCTACAAATCTTTGCTTTTACTCTACTAAAATCTGTATTAAATTTAAAATTTGACATTTACTCAAATTTAAAAAAAATTATTCGAAATCTTAAAATTTTTTTAAATTAATGTGTAAAATGTGAATGTTGAGTAATGAGTCATTCTATAATTTTAGCTAAAAAATGTAGGTGAGTGGTGTCAGTTGGATTTAGAATGTTTAAAAAGGGTTTTTTATCAGATTGGGCCCAGTGGAAGGGGCACCCTTTATTTATAAACTTAGGATAAACAGATGATAATACTCTCCAGATCTTTCTCTGTTAATTTCTGTGTACGAAAACTAAATCAACTTCTATCCTTTTTTCAATATGTTCACTTTTTTTTGGATGTTGAAGGATTTTTTTTTAAAAGTTGCTCCCATTTCTTGATATAAAATGGTCACGAGATATCTAATGCTGAATAATATTTATTTGCAGATAGCTATTAATCAAAAGGCTGCACTAAATATAGATTTTTTTCTATGGACACTGTATTTATTTGGAAACATTTTCATTATATAAGCAAAACATAATGATTTCACAATAAAAAATTGCAATAACATATTTAATGATAGAACTCAGAGATTATTTGTAAAAATAAAACCGAAAAGTTAAAATATTTTTATAAATTTGTCCTGGTCTGTTTGACTAAAATCTTGTTAATTCTGTGATGATAACATATTTTCTGTTCAACTCAGCTTTAAATTGAGATTTAAATTATCCAAATCTGTATGGATAATCACATACCCTCTAATGGCAGCTCTGCAAGAAGGACACTCAGGTTTTGGAAGACTCAATATACATTGTTTTCAAGCCAGCACATGACTGCAAGGTAATAGCAAAGTATTAGCCAAATTACTGCAGCATAGTTTACACTCTAAACTATTCAAAACTTGATAAAAAGATGTTGCTTGTTCATTTGAAGAATCAACCGAATTATTTGTATTTCTGAAATAAAGAAGTTTATATAAATATTCTTCAAGATGATGAAATGAAAAAAAAATGACAACACTAACCCATTTGACATATGTTAAAAAGCAGTGAAACACTTTCAGCATCACTTTATATAGGAAAAATTGGTATTTTGTCATGTGTTGAAATGATGACTTGCCAGAAGTTCCAAATATAATAGCAGAATATTTCATAAGGAATGACTAAACTTTGTATGATAATTACTCAACTAGAATGATTAGTAATGAATATTTGAATATGAACATGAATATTCTAGAAACAGTTTAGAATTGTCACCTCTGAGTTTGAATTTGGAAATACTGTAGATATTCTTTTCAGTTAATATTCTAATTGAAGCTGCTTCACAAACCTTCTTCGTTTACCTTCATGTGTTAAAAGTTCAAAGTAAGTTTGTCAAATACAGATTTCAATTAACAGATAGCATTTAACTGTCCATATTGCAGATTTGCAGTTGAATGTCTGCAAGTCCTAATTAGCTATATTACTTATAGGTGAGTCCAACTTATGGAAAGAAAAATCAACACTTTTAACGTTCTTATTATAACCTATAGGCCTATAAAAGTTAAGAGAATACATGAAAGATATAATTTTAAAGTTATCTACCAGGTGTACCAGATGTCCTGACAAAAGATTTAATTCTATAAAACGATACTTTATCAATTGTTAATTATCATTTTGGATAACAATGAGAAGACAAGAGTAAAATTTTTTAAAACTTTGTACAATTAACATCTTTTCATTTGTTTTTTTTTTGCTTTTCCTTTAAAAAAATACAGAAACCCAATGAATTATAAGCAATTTCAATG